TACTGTGTCCGCAGTCTCTGGTCATCTCCTGTACTGTGTCCGCAGTCTCTGATCATCTTCTGTACTGTTTCTGCAGTCTCTGGTCATCTCCTGTACTATGTCTGCAGTCCATTAGCTCAGAATTTTTTTTTCTTGTTTTCTGCCTCTAAAACCTAGGTGCGTCTTATGGTCAGCTGTGTCTTATGGAGCGAAAAATACGGTATATTAATCCCTCATTTTCTTTAAGTTATTTCAGCTGCTGATGTAAACACCTAACTTGGTATGCCCCTTCTTCATGTATTAAACCTTGCTTTTCTTGCAGTTTTATCTTACCTCCTGATCACTGGCTCTAATTTTCTTTTTTAGGGTGGCTGCTTTACCTTGAAGGATCCTTTTGAAGCCACCCTATCACACATGCTCCTAGGAATAGAATTACATGCCAATGTGTAGATTCTGCCTGCACCAATATGCACAAGCAACTTGATATGATAAAAAAAAAGTAAAACACACCACTTCAGCTCCTCTCCCCAGGGAAGTGATTGACAGCAGCTCCCAAGTCAGCGCTATAACTTCCATAACAACGTTCTAACCTTGGCCAAACCTCATGAATGAAGGGCATAATGAATGATGGGAATGGTAGTTCACAGCTATGTAATCATGTGTCTTGTAATTACAATTAGAGATCATGCTGTTCATCCCGAACATGTAAGCTGCAGAGAGGGAGTGGCTGTCTACTGATACTAATGTAGGTCTTTCTGCACTTTTTAGGAAGACATTGTTTATTGTCCTGTGACATACATACTGTTGCAACTGCTCGACTACCCCTGGCAGTCTTATATTTTGTCCAAACTTTTGTCACTACCCTTATTAGACAGCTAGTTTGCATGTAAATAAGATACAAAAAGGTATGTGGGGGGGGAATAATGTACAGTATCTCACAGAAGCGAGCTCACCCCTCACATATTTGTAAATATTTTACTCTATTTTTTCATGTGACAACACTGAAGAAATGACACTCAACACACAGCCATTAATGTCTAAACCGCTAACAACAAAAGTGAGTAAACCCTTAAGTAAAAATGTCCAAATTGGGCCCAATTAGCCATTTTCCCTCCCCGGTGTCATGTGACTCCTTAGTGTTAAAAGGTCTCAGGTGTGAATGGGGAGCAGGTGTGTTAAATTTGGTGTTATCGCTCTCACTCTCTCATACTGGTCACTGGAAGTTCAACATGGCACCTCATGGCAAAGAACTCTCTGAGGATCTGAAAAAAAAATTGTTGCTCTACATCAGTGGTTCTCAACCTTTCTAATGCCGCGACCCCTTAATACAGTTCCTCATGTTGTGGTGACCCCCAACCATAAAATTATTTTCGTTGCTACTTCATAACTGTAATTTTGCAGTGGGAGGACTAGCGCCCCATCACTGATGTCAGTGGGATGAATAGTGTCCCATCACTGATGTCAGTGGGATGAATAGTGTCCCATCGTTGGTATCAGTGGGATGAATAGTGCCCCATCGTTGGCGTCAGTGAGAGGAATAGTGCCCAATCATTGGCGTCAGTGGGAGGAATAGTGCCCAATCATTGGTGTCAGTGGGAGGAATAGTGCCCCATCATTGGCGTCAGTGGGAGGAATAGTGTACAATCATTGGCATCAGTGGGAGGAATAGTGCCCCATTATTGGCGTCAGTGAGAGGAATAGTGCCCAATCATTGGCGTCAGTGAGAGGAATAGTGCCCAATCATTGGCGTCAGTGGGAGGAATAGTGCCCAATCATTGGTGTCAGTGGGAGGAATAGTGCCCCATCGTGGGTGTCAGTGGGAGGAATAGTGCCCCATCGTGGGTGTCAGTGGGAGGAATAGTGCCCCATCGTGGGTATCAGTGGGAGGAATAGTGCCCCATCGTGGGTGTCAGTGGGAGGAATAGTGCCCCATCGTGGGTGTCAGTGGGAGGAATAGTGCCCCATCGTGGGTGTCAGTGGGAGGAATAGTGCCCCATCGTGGGTGTCAGTGGGAGGAATAGTGCCCCATCGTGGGTGTCAGTGGGAGGAATAGTGCCCCATCGTGGGTGTCAGTGGGAGGAATAGTGCCCCATCGTGGGTGTCAATGGGAGGAATAGTGCCCCATCGTGGGTGTCAGTGGGAGGAATAGTGCCCCATCGTGGGTGTCAGTGGGAGGAATAGTGCCCCATCGTGGGTGTCAGTGGGAGGAATAGTGCCCCATCGTGGGTGTCAGTGGGAGGAATAGTGCCCCATCGTGGGTGTCAGTGGGAGGAATAGTGCCCCATCGTGGGTGTCAGTGGGAGGAATAGTGCCCCATCGTGGGTGTCAGTGGGAGGAATAGTGCCCCATCGTGGGTGTCAGTGGGAGGAATAGTGCCCCATCGTGGGTGTCAGTGGGAGGAATAGTGCCCCATCGTGGGTGTCAGTGGGAGGAATAGTGCCCCATGGTGGGTGTCAGTGGGAGGAATAGTGCCCCATCGTGGGTGTCAGTGGGAGGAATAGTGCCCCATCGTTGGTGTCAGTGGGAGGAATAGTGCCCCATCGTTGGTGTCAGTGGGAGGAATAGTGCCCCATCGTTGGTGTCAGTGGGAGGAATAGTGCCCCATCGTTGGTGTCAGTGGGGGGAGGAATAGTGCCCCATCGTTGGTGTCAGTGGGAGGAATAGTGCCCCATCGTTGGTGTCAGTGGGAGGAATAGTGCCCCATCGTTGGTGTCAGTGGGGGGAGGAATAGTGCCCCATCGTTGGTGTCAGTGGGGGGAGGAATAGTGCCCCATCGTTGGTGTCAGTGGGGGGAGGAATAGTGCCCCATCGTTGGTGTCAGTGGGGGGAGGAATAGTGCCCCATCGTTGGTGTCAGTGGGGGGAGGAATAGTGCCCCATCGTTGGTGTCAGTGGGGGGAGGAATAGTGCCCCATCGTTGGTGTCAGTGGGGGAGGAATAGTGCCCCATCGTTGGTGTCAGTGGGGGGAGGAATAGTGCCCCATCGTTGGTGTCAGTGGGGGGAGGAATAGTGCCCCATCGTTGGTGTCAGTGGGGGGAGGAATAGTGCCCCATCGTTGGTGTCAGTGGGGGGAGGAATAGTGCCCCATCGTTGGTGTCAGTGGGGGGAGGAATAGTGCCCCATCGTTGGTGTCAGTGGGGGGAGGAATAGTGCCCCATCGTTGGTATTAGTGACACAAATGATGGGGCACTATCCTTTCCACTGACACCAATGATACTTACCTTGCTGACCCCTGCTCCAGCCTGGGCTCGCTCTCTCCCTCTCCCATCTACAGCCTGCATACCTGGCTGCAGCAGCAAAATTTGCACTTACCTGTCAGCTGTCTTCCTTCTCTGGCCTCTCTCTTCACTCGCTCCTGCAGCTCCCTCGATCTTCTTCGATCTCTGCGTGCTGCCGCTCGGCTCCTCCTCTCCAAGCTCCACCTCCTCGCCGGTGATTGGCCGCCTGTGTGCCTCTCCTGAGCTACAGTTCCGGTGGCCAATCAGCGACGAGGAGGCGGAGCTGTTGATTGATCCCGGAGGTGTGGCCAGGTTACAGGGCAGCATATCATCCCGCCCACAGATCGCCTGAGACAGGAGCGGTGTCTCGGTTCCTAAGACCATCGGAAATATGTGTTTTCCGATGGTCTTAGGCGACCCCTGTGAAATGGTCGTTCGACCCCCAAAGGGGACGCGACCCCCAGGTTGAGAACCGCTGCTCTACATAAAGATGGCCTAGGCTATAAGAAGATTGCCAAGACCCTGAAACTGAGCTGCAGCATGGTGGCCAAGAGTATGCAGCGGTTTAACAGGACAGGTTCCACTCAGAACAGGCCTCGCCATGGTAGACCAAAGGAGTTAAGAGCATGTGCTCAGCGTCATATCCAGAGGTTGTCTTTGGGAAATAGACGTATGAGTGCTGCCAGCATTGCTGAAGAGGTTGAAGGGCTGGGGGGTCAGCCTGTCAGTGCTCAGACCATATGCCGCACACCGCATCAAATTGGTCTGCATGGCTGTCGTCCCAGAAGGAAGCCTCTTCTAAAGATGATGCAGAAGAAAACCCGCAAACAGTTTGCTGAAGACAAGCAGACTAAGGATATGGATTACTGGAACCATGTCCTGTGGTCTGATGAGAACAAGATCAACTTATTTGGTTCAGATGGTGTCAAGCATGTGTGGCAGCAACCAGGTGAGGAGTACAAAGACGAGTGTGTCTTGTCTACAGTCAAGCATGGTGGTGGGAGTGTCATTGTCTGGGGCTGCATGAGTGCTGCCGGCACTTGGGAGCTACAGTTCATTGAGGGAATCATGAATTCCAACATGTACCTTGACATACTGAACCTCCCTTCGGAGACCGGGCTGCAGGGCAGTATTCCAGCATAACCCCAAACACACGTCCAAGATGACCACTGCCTTGCTAAAGAAGCTGAGGGTAAAGGTGAAGGACTGGCTAAGTATGTCTCCAGACCTAAACCCTATTGAACATCTGTGGGGCATCCTCTAATGGAAGGTTAAGGAGTGCAAGGTCTCTAACATCCACCAGCTCCGTGAGGTCGTCATGGAGGCGTAGAAGAGGACTCCAGTGTCAACCTCTGAAGCTCTGGTGAACTCCACGCCCAAGAGGGTAAGGCAGTACTGGAAAATAATGGTGGCCACACAAAATATTGACACTTTGGCCCAATTTGGACATTTTTACTTAGGGATGTACTCACTTTTTGTTGCCAGGGGTTTAGACATTAATGGCTGTGTGTTGAGTTATTTTGAGGGGACAGAAATTTGCACTGTTATACAAGATGTACACTCACTACTATACATTGTAGCAAAGTGTCATTTCTTCAGTGTTGTCACATGAAAAGATATAATAAAATATTTATAAAAATGTGAGGGGTGGACTCACTTCTGTGAGATGCTGCATATACTATGTACCATCATTGTGTATATTTACTCCATAATGTTTTTTTTTCTTCATAATAGTTCTTTAAATAGCTATACTGATATCTAAGAAGGACCAAGTCTGGAATAATATATTTTCTTTATTTACAGGGATAGAGGTGTGGATGAAGGAGAACAGTCTACTGCCAAGATAGCTAGAGTGGAAAACAATGTTTCCCTGACTTCAATCCCTGTTAAAAAAAAATCTCCAATAAAATGGAAAGATTCAGATAGTCTATCTTCTAATGATATGGATTTAGATACAGAACCCAATGTCGTATCTAAAGAGAAAACAGCCTTGCCAGATAGGTGGCCTAAAGATAATAATGATGCCTCCACGTCTAGTGTAGTGAAAGATGCATCAATGAAAAGGAAGCAACCTGATGATGTGGTGGAAGAATCCGACTTGGAAAATGATGAAATTAGCGATCAACAAAAAATCCCAAAAACCGATCCAGTCATGGTCAAGAGGCAACGTTTGGGTTCAGAAGGAGATTCTGGAGAAGATCTCAAAGCAGGGTTGTTGGGAAACAGTATCAGAACTACGGTAAGTGTATCAGAATTAAGGGTATCAGTATAGACTAAGAGTATCAAATCTACGGAAACCCTGCCAAGAAGTCAGCTCAGCGCTACAAATTTGTTTTCTTTTAGTTTTTGCTGTTCCAACTCGGAGTTCAGCTTCTGCTGGGCATGTTAACGTAAATGAAATGCATTGCAGCAGACCTAACTAGTGTAAATGGGCCCTAACGTTTCCTTGGAACATGATACTGTGTCCTAAGTTGGCCATAGATGGATCGAAATTTGGCCGTCAGGGAACAGACGAATTTCGATCCATGTGTGGTTGCTCCTACTCGACAGGAGTTGATCTAATTATCAACATCTGTGAAAAGGCTTTTGGAAAAATGTTCTCGATCAGTGGCTTTAGCTGTTGAACAGTGCATTCTTACAGCAGAGAGTTCCTGCTGTCAGAACAATATGCCTAAGTGGGGAGGATTCTATCTATCTACCTTGATTGCATGTGTATGGAAAAATCTGTTCATTTTTTTTTTTCGATCAGCCCACAGGCTAAACCGAAAAAAAAAAAAAAAACAATCGATCAATCTATGGCCAGTCTTAGAATATTAATCTGCAAATTGTAAACACCAGCTGGTGAACATATTATTATACAGTATTTATACAGTATATAGTGCCAAAGGGTATGCTCAGTATGACCAGCGATTCTGTCTCTACCCTGTGCACACACCTCCCAGTGGAACCCAGTATGCCCATTTCCTCTTCCAGACTTGTGTGGCCAATACCCAATATCATAGTTCAACCATTTTGGTGTATTGGAGCACTTTATGTAAATGTCTATGCTTTACTTCACTGAGAGAATGTTAGCAGAAATTACGTCATAGGGGTTGTAGGTTCAATTCAGCAGATAAATGTTTTTTATTGGTAATATACTGAGTTGTTGTTTGCAGGTCCAGACATCAAAAGCCAGAATGTCTGTTCCTTTACTGTTATCTGAATTATATGATAATTGATTGCAGCTTTATTACACTACCAAGGCCTTTAGGTGGCCTTCATCCCACATTTTGATACGATCCCATTAAATCAGATATTTTGTTAGGACTATGTTGTTTAATTCTGCTGACTTATGGTTTGCATTTCATTTTCTTTCAATCCTTAATAGCCAAAAAGTTTTGTCTGAGTCTAATTGGGGAGATTTCCTTTCACTTCCTATCCTGCCACTACCAAGAAGTAGGAAGAAAGTTCTTCAGAGTGATATAAATCCCAATTTGGACACTTGTCACAAAACCATGGGTGACCAGAGGGAGAATTTTCTTTACCTCCTGTTTTGGTGACAACTGTAAAAATGTGGACGTCTAGTTAATTCTGTCTGAGTGACAATGGTCACAGGGACAATTAGGGTGAGGGTGCATCTACCCAGTGTAGACTAAGGGCCCATTGAGACTTGCAGTTGGCAGAGGGGACTTTAAAAACACAGTTGAGTCATGTTTCAGGTGCAAAGGCAGCAGGGGTGTTTACATGCTGAGGGAGCTCGGCTTTGCTTCACCCCCTCAACAAAAATGAACATTTGTCATGTTCGGCAGGCAGCAAGGCCAACACGTCACCCACCCATTCTAGCATAATTGCGAAGTGCCGCAAACTCCACGTTGGTGTGGCAATTATGAGGTTAAAATAGGCGGTGAGGAGGTGTCTAACACCTCTAAAAAAGCAGTGTAGAGGCGCAGTGCTTTAGACTCAAGTTTAAAGGAGAAGTACAGTCAAAGCTTTTTTTGTCTGCCCTTTTGTGGATCACAGGAGTACAGGTTGTTCTGCACTCGTGTGATCTGTTTTCAGCTGACAGTAGGCTGAAGTTTTCTTTCGGCTGACGTCACTCAACAGGTTCAGGGTCTAGAGCAGCACCTGGCTCAGCCTCCCAGCCAAGTGCTGAGAGCCTGTGCCATTCGCTCCCTTCCCCTCCACAGCCCAGCGCTCCAGGGAACACTGGGGGGGGACTGAACAGATAGCGGTGACTGACAGTCCTGCTCTCTGATCAGAGCGGAGAGGAGAACTCGGTGATCTGCGGTCATGCGATTGCTGAATTCTCACCCTTAGATCTGGGGGGGGGGGGGGGGGGGGGCAGATGCAGCATTGGACCGATGCTGCATCCACTTAGGTAAGTGGGGGGGGGGGGCCCTACTTCTCTTTTAAATTCATCCCTAGACAGCAATAGAATCCACACGAGGTTCTTACCCTTCTCTGCTCTGATCAAATCTAAAAAGATACGTTTTAGCACGCAAGTTTTAATAGGTTTATCAGATAATTGGTATTTTGTGAAGACAAGTCCATTTTATTTTACTCATACATGTTATTTGTGTATAATATTAAAATAAAACAACTATTTTTGTAATGCAGTTGATCTCATCCACATCAGACAGCACTCTGCCAAAATGTTTCATACTTGTGTTGTTTGCTGAGCCTGTCGTGAGCCTTTGTCTGCTTGTCACAGTCTATCATTCACACACATATGCACAGCAATAAAATGATTAAATGTGTTCCCTAATGAAAGCATCGGTTTCTAAAGGTATATATGCCGCAGAGCAGTGACCCGTAAGAGCAACTTATGAGTTGAGTGACTGTTCTCACATTAGCAGACTGCCCTGAGATAAATTCTTAACAATAAATATACAATATATACCTCTGTTACAACCCTTTATCACAGCATGCTCAATAAAGTGACTCAGTCATCATTTTTTATTCTGCACAGAAGGGTTGATGGGACACAGGCAGAGAAGACACATAGAATGAATAGGGAGAGTAAGCTTAGAGGCATTAGGATGGCTATAAATGATTTGACCCCATCATTGGTTGTATTGCTTAGGGTGAGCACTGGACCATTTAGGAGTAGTCTGGGTGGTGTTTATACATAATTTCAGCATTGGAAACACATTTAATACTGGGAATTTTCAGAAGTTTGGGATATCTCGATGAGCAGGTGTCTTTCTGATAGTTTACAGGAAACTGTCCGTTCTTCCCTGGCTGGACAGATTTTCTTTCAGATTTGGTTTATCAGCAACTATGTAGTATGGAGACATACCTGAAAAATCCATCAATTTTATAACAAGTCATGATGCTCCTCACAGTGCACAGTTGTGTGTAAATTTCAATAATCTGACAGGTCTCATTTGAAACCATTCTGTGTGTAGTCTGAATTAAGGCGAGCAGGGGCCCTCGCCATGCAAAATATGGATAAACTTTCACCACTCCCATTTACCACCCTCTAACCCACGGGTGTCAAACTGGCAGCCCTCCAGCTGTTGCCAAACTACAAGTCCCAGGAGTCATTGCAAGATTGACAGTTACCAGCATGACTTCCAAAGGCAGAGGCATGATGGGACTTATAGTTTCGCAACAGCTGGAGGGCCGTCAGTTTGACACCCCTGCATCCAACCCATACTGCAAGGCTTTTTGTGTTTTTCTTATCTGGTAAAGCAAGACATACTCATCCTGAGTTTGCCATCCAGGTCCCTCGCTGCCACTGTTTCTGTGTGTGGGGAACCACTGATCCAGTGCTGAAAATGTACCCAAGGCTGCCTGTTCCCTATAGCCCCCTCCATTGATGTCACTCCTTTCCTGGATCCCGAGAGGCCTCTGTCGCTGTACAGCCAATAGGAACTGTCCACATTATGCAGGCAGTGATTTGGACACCAGAAGTAAACAAAGGAAGAGCAAAGGCTTGGCTCAGTGACATCACATGTCTGCGGCTTTCGGTAAAAAGAAAGGGCATTTAGAGTTCCAGTAATTAAAGCAGTTTGCATTCCGGTACATTCATCCCTGGGTGTATAAGGCCTAAATATGAAAAAAAAAGAAACCTACAGTTTTTTTTTTTTTTTTTTTTTAAATGTTTCTTGACAGCCACAACTTTGTTATTTACAAACAATATAGTTTGATATAGTAGGGAAAAGTTAGAACCTGTAGCAGGTTTTCAGTGCTGTGTCCCCATTGCTAAAATTTTCCTTACTTTCTGTTTTGTCTAAAACTTATCACCTGGACAGAAAGTGCAATTACATTTCCCAGTGGAGACAGAGACAGCAGTAAAGTCCTAGAGAGGTTCTCACCCTTCTCTAGCCCATTAATAATAAAGGTAAAAGAAAACCTGTTTCCCAATTTGTGAATTTGGTAAGTGTTGGTAAAACTGTACATATCATTATAATTACTTAGTGTATCCAGCTGAATTATACTTTTTTCCAGGACAAATTGGACCTTTGGTAGTAAATGGTGATGGATATCTCCTAATTTAGTTTCATTATGAAAGAAAACCGTTAAAATAAGTGTGTGTGTGTGTAAATATATATTTATGTATGTGTGTGTATGTATGTGTGTGTGTGTGTGTGTGTGTATACCCGTATTTCCCCGAAAATAAGACACTGTCTTATATTTTTTTTGGCTCAAAAAAACACACTAGGTCTTATTTTCAGGGTACGTATTATTTTTTAAATAAAAAAGAGGGTGCAGAGGTGAGCTGCAGGCAGTTGTGGATGAGGGTTACTATAGAGAGGGCCGGCTGATGACAGTTGTGAGCTGCAGTCAGGTGCTGCAGATTTGACTTGACATTTGAGTTTCAGACAGGGTGCAGATATGAGCCACAGACAGGGTGCAGATATGGGATGCAGAGGTGAGCAGTGGCTGGGGGGTGCACAGGCAAGCTGTGGCCAGGGGGTGCAGAGCTGAGCTGTGGCTGGGGTGTGCAGAGGTGGGTTGCAACTCAGCTCACCTCTGCAACCCCCCAACCGCAGCTCACCTATGCACCCTGTCTGCAACTCACCTGACTCAATTTACCTCTGCAACACCTGACTGCAGCTCACCTTTGCACATCCCCCCCCCCCCTCCACTGACCTCATATGGTTAGATAGCTTTGCAAAAACACAGCTGTCAGCAGCCGGCCCCTCTCTATAGTAAATCCCGTTTCGGGTTCTATCTTCCTACACAGTGCACCAAGCGCACTTACTCACCACTCCGCCTCTTCCCCATCCCTGGGGCATCAGCTTCCATGCATTA